ATTTTCAGGCATGAAACCTGGCAAGGCAATCCTCCCACTACGCCGTCTGCTTGGCTGGCGACGCTTGCATCGGGGTGATATTCCACAATATCACTGAAAACCTTGGCCTCCCTGGGCAGGTGCCCTTCAGACTGACGCTTCCGTAAGACTTCCTGGCAAAATTGATCTCGCTCAACCTTGGCAAATCGCGTTCATACGACACTAGCCTTATATAGAATGTCAAGAACACATACCACCCATGGATGCTGAATATTAATTCTTTTCAGAATGAAATGTTTGTGGAACCATCGCACAACAAATAATAACTATACGGTCCGCGAGTGATCCAACACCAAGCCCGAGGCAAAAGTCAAAGCCTTGCAGTACCTGATCGGGGATTCTTGACTTGGAGCCATTTTGTCTTCATTGATGATTGAACAGCTCTGAGATTAAGGCTGGCGTAGTCCAAGTTCGAGTCCTCCGATTCCGGAGAACACCGATATGATCCGGTACTGCTTCCCCTGCCAGAAAAGGCGATCAGCTACAACAGGTTAGTATGTAGCATGGCAAGCCTTCACAGCACCGAACAAGCGGTTGACAGAGCTCTTGGGCACGTCTGCATCTGGAGAGGACCAGCCCCTTGGAAGGCCTCCAACAAAAACATACTGAGCAATGATCATTTGGTGTTCGCACCAAACCACAAACTTTCAAGAAATGCTGTCAGACCTACCATCCATGCGGCAAGATCGCATGGCACAAAGCGCTTTGCTCGTGTTATAGCGACGCCAGTCTGCCGACATTCGGCCACAAATTTGTCCCAGTACCGGATCTGAGTGGCAAGATCCTGAAGACTAATAGAAAACGTATTGCTTTTGATTGCTCGCACACACACACACTCTCTCTCTCTGTATCCTTCTCTCTCTGACTGTCTCTCTTTGTCTCTTTCATTTTCTTGTTGACAAGGACACCATGACAGTCACGCCCTATCCTGCTTGCCCCGAACTGACAAGTAGTTCACGGTGGCGCGCACCGTCCCTGTGAAGCATCCTGACACTGTCAAGACGAAAATAAACCAAGTGGTTAGAATCAGTTCACCTCCAATAAGCTGTCCCAGCAACTTGTCAACTAATTGCTGATGAAAATCGGATGGTCCCAAAGCTGCAAACTGTAGTTGGTTTCTTGACCAAAGATTTGGTCTTCAGTTTCGTGCCCTTCTTGACCTTTCTGGGAACCTTGGCTTTCGCGCCCAACAAAAACTGATGGCTGCCAGCGCGCAACAAGAATGACGAGGCAGTTCTCAAATGACAAGCAAATGACTTGCTATGATCTAGTAAGAAGGATTACTATTCAATCGAAACGCCAATCGAATCCTCATCTTGGGAATCTTTGGGATGCAAAAAGGCTTGTAAGCCTGGATCACCCCGTTGGCAGCCATGATGCCAAACCTTGGGAATCGCCCAGCGACCTGAAGGAGTCGGAGGTCAATGAGACATTTGTCTTACTAACTATTTATTGTCACCAACTTCACGAAGTAAACAGTATACAGTGTTTAAGTTTTGAACCGTGAATTCTTTTTGAGGGCATGGCCTTCACAGAACCCTTCAGGTTTTTGGCCGATCTTCGTCGTCGAGGAGGCGATGACGCATTCATAGGCTCCACGCAGCCATCATCACTGGGCGAGGGAGATCAAAACAAAACAACAACATCCAACACTTAAAGAATTGCCTGTAAGCAAACCAATCTGAAGATTCATCCTGAGTCCAACGCTCACTCAAAGCGTCCACGTTCTGGAGCGTCATGATGCAGTTTTGCAAAAAGCACACGGCTGCGAAACAATACTGCGCATCGACGCGAGATAACCGTGGACCACCCACACACGAAACCAACAGCCAACTTCAACGCAAACTAGAAAAAACAACTAAGTTTCCAATTGAACACTGGCGCAATGCTCAGAACTAAAGCGCGAAGGAGATGATCTAAAAGCATCTTCCAAAAATAACATGCCCGTGACACTGCAGCTAGCTGCATTTTCTGTTCACCATATGCTGAGTTTCTTCTATATATATGTATCAAGAATTCCCCTTGGGTTTGGCAGGTCGTTTTTTGACCTTCAAAGCCAGAGTCGGTTTCACCGCGGGTCCTGGGTTGCCAAGGTTGATCCATCGAACACAGCCTGTTGTATGTGAGTATGGAACCGGCTCCTCATACTTGGTAGGATCGGCCAGGGTCCATGCAAACATTTTTGGATACTGCGCTTGTGTCAGATCTTCGATCCTGTGCTTCTGCCAATTGTGGGCGATAAAGTCAGAAGACTCGCCCCACTCCAAGAGCTGACCAGTCTCACGGTCTCGTTTCCCAACCCTGCGGCAACCTGTCACAGTGACCTCGCCGTACAAACACTTCGTGCCACTGACGGCGACGCAGATTCTACCACGCCTCTTGGTTGACGATGAACGAATCTCCCAGGTCTTGTGACCGTTTAGTATTTGGTCAGCCCATGGCTGTTTGATGATCAAAGCGTGCGATGGTGCCATCGTGTTGACAATGAGCAAAATGTCATTGCCAGTGAAAAGAGGCTGCGCGAAAACACGGTTCAAAAAGCGCGCAACAATGGCACTGCTATCATCATCGTTACATTCCTGAATCTTGCAGTCTGTTTCCTCCGTTTTGACTGAACAAGCATGTGGTTCCAAATCAATCCCCATTATGTGGTGGATAAATTGTTATCTATCTATCTATCTATTTATGCCGATCTATGTATATATTAATATATATATACTGTGTTACTATATCAACATCAAATATACAAACTTAACTTAGGATCCTGGACACTCAAGGATCATCTCATGTCAAGCATCTTAGGATCTTGGACACCAAGGACCATCTCATGTCACGTGTCAGCCATGGGTGCTGAGTCACAGCCATGGGTGGCTGGGTGGTGAGTCTATTAAGAACACTCTATTCTAATGCCCCAATGTTGGGACACCTGGTTGCATTTTGGACTCCTGAATCAAAAGGCTGTGCCTTTGACTTGGGATGGAACTCATTCCATCAGACAAGAGTCATCCTTGAGGACGCGCATAAGTACTGCAACGCCGCGGCAGGCTGAACATGCAGGAGAAGCGACAGAACAAAGCAGCAGCCAAGTTCAAATGGAAGAAGAAGGGTGAGACGAGGCATGGCAAGCGCATAGTCGTATTGGTGCGGCCATGATCGAGAGGCCATTGGCAGCAGTGACATGGCCAGTGATACGGCCGGACTTGCGCTTGGAGCCAGGGATGCTGGCACTGGAAGCGGTGGGGTTAGGAAGTTTGAGCCAAGTCTCAGTTCACACGCCAAATTCATTTGCAGCCAACCCTCAAAATTCCTTTGAAGGCGGGGAGTGACTTGATTTTGCACAATGAGGCACTCTCCGCGCCCAGCTTCAGATTCAGTATCAAATTATCAAAGATACTTCAGTTGAGGGGGATGTATTTTCACTCCGCATAATATAGGTTGCTATCTTACCTTCTGCTTAGATTGTGGCCCAAAGCAGGTGCTACAGTGCTACAGTTTGGACGGCTGTTTCTATAGATCTCAATGCAACGTTTTGTTTTCCCACAGCTCCACTTGCACGAGCTGCAAATAGCAAACAAACGCACCGTTTGCAGTGAGCAAAGCTCAAAGCCGAGAAAGCTGGGAGTTCAATGTTCAATTAAGAGTTGTAGATCAATACCCAGGAATTTGACTGCTCACCAAAGAAACTAATGTATATATAAAATTATATATATATATATTGGAGCAAAAACAGAAAGGAACAAACCGTTGCAGGTCCGACACATTCTGCATGCATTTGTGAAGTGCGGACGGCGCATGTTCACACTTTAAAGCAGAGTAGGGGTAGGCAAGTTTCAATTTCCATCAGGTTCTGAATTTGTAATCGATTTGTTCAAGTCATACTATAATCATGTAGACCTGCTTGGAACCAGGCTGACAAACAAGGTGATCTTCAATTGCGGACCAGTTGCAAAACATGAGACATGTCGGGACAAGGCGATAGTCGACTTTGTTCAAAGCTCGTGAGGCTACATCTCCCTTAAAGGGCTTTCAAACTTCAATAAACAACTCCCAGCCGACAGTGCTACACCTACAGCGACAAGTGTCTGACTCCAACTTGGATTCGGTGCGCTTAGTTTCCAGCTGTGGCATATGATCCAGACCCAAGGATCTTCACAGGTCTCCAACTGTCATGAGTCATGACAGTGACATAAAGTCGCGCTTGTGACAATTGCAGAAAGGAATGAATGTCGCCCATCAAAGAAATCAGTTAATGTCTAAACAACTTTTTGCCCAAAGTAATCTCAACACACTGCACGCACACAACTGCCCAACTTAGAAGCCAGGTTGGCGTCTCTGGCAATGTAAAGCTCACACTCCCCGTCCTTCCCTCCAATGTGAAGTTCCTGTGATGACAGTCTGGCAGTCTTCCTTTCTTGAAGACTCAACAAGTTTGTCAACAAACTGCTTTCCGTCACGGCGACTTAAGTTTGATCCTTTGCCTCCCTTGTGGATTCCTTACTACTCAGGCTGGTTCCCAACAAGATCTCCTGGTTCTCTGCATCGAGATTGCAATCCATAGGCAATGTAGCGCTGCCAAATGTGCTTCAAGGCATTCTCTTATATTATGTATCTTAAAACGTTGAACTTCATTTGTGCGCGCAAGCTCCACGATGGACTGATGAGGGTTGCTCTTCTGCCAGACGAACTATTTCTCTCCAGCAACATTTCCTACTTGAACGTTGAAAACACTATATATATATATATTACAAAATTTTGTTGAAATGCATCATCTTCTGGTCTAAAAGCCACTGTAAAGAAGTACAGTAATCTCTTGCTCTTGCTACTTTGAACCGTATGCTTCGGTATCATGCCAAAGCAACAACAGCGTGCAAGCAAACGTGGTAGACTTGCCATGTCCTTTTCACACGCACACGTATCTGTGTTTGAACTCTACCTGACACAAACACAGGCTGCTCACATCCGTTAAACTTAGTATATATAGTGGCAGCAGTTGTCAAGGCTGTGATGGTTGTCAAGGCTGTGATGGCTTCATTATATATAGAGGTAAACAAGCGCAAACTGTTCGCACGGGGCACAATAGCCTTGGGGCTGCGACGCATCAAACCCTGGTCAGATTTGAGCAAACTCTGGGCAACATTATCCAAGCTAAAGCAAAACTCTCTGTTTCGAGAGCTTGCAAAGCCAAAATGTCTGGTGATTGGTCTCTTTTATTTATGTACATAGCTCAAGGTGTTCTCGAGCTGTGGGCAGGTTTTCCCTGATTCAAACTGCCAAAACATGTAAACAACATCACGCGGTATTGATGTTGTCAAATCACGTTGTCTGTCAAAAGTCGTCAAATCTATTGATGTATGTGGCTCGACTGTTTCGACCCTTCTTGCTGTGTTGGACTCGTCTCTTGCCAGGGATAAGGAGGCGGGTCCGCCTCAAAGCCCTGCTAAAGAATAATGGCCGCAAAGGACGCAAAGGAGGCTTCACGGTCTGAGCCTGCCCTTCTTGCAAGTGGCCGTCGTCTGAGCCTGCCTCCTTCCGCTCAATCCCATGTTCCGAGTTCTGCCTACTTTGTTCCTCACCCAGTGTTCGCCACGCCTTGAGGATATGGTGCAAAAGCACCATCTTAGAATATATCGCTGACGATATTTGCGTGGTTGAGACGCCCGATTGGTTGAGGATTCTGCATTGCATATGTCTTTGCTTGAAAAGTTTCAACTCCTGAGAGTATGCCGTCTTTGTTCTGTGTCTCAATATTGCAACCCAAGGGCGCTTCGGTCCGGGTGGTGTCAGTGTGCAAAATTGTTCATGGCTTAGAAGCAACACATGGCACATCATCTTGGTGCGAACTGTGGCATGGTACTGGTGCTGCACTCCCATCATTTGTGCCCCGCCAAAGGACTTTCCAGGCCAAAGCATGCTAATCTGCAGGCCTTTAAAGATGATATCGGCTTTGCCCACATTGAAAACAACCATCGTCGACCCATCTTCATTTTCGCCGAAGATCACAGTCTGGGGGTGGATAACTTTCCGCTCAAATAGGAGACTAAGCCGAGTTAAAAATTGCGACGGCATACCGGCAAAGATTGGATGCTTCAGCAACCGATGCCCAACCTGATCGGAATTCCAAACCGCATCAAAGCATATCAAAGCAAAAACTGGAACGTTCCAGCAGCAAAAAAACAAACATACAATATATATTGAAACCAAACATTCCAACACTTGTGATGCATCAGTTCGCAACTTTCGACATTTGGGCTGCGTATGTTTCAACATGTTCCAGACATCTTTAACTTTTCAATGGCAAATGTCCATTTGGGGTGGCGGTTATGCCCACAACTACTTGCAGAGTCGAGTGTAGTAGCAAGCGGCCCTGCCAGCGGCCGCCACAGCGGCGGCATCGTCCTTTGTGATTACGGTCGTCCCACAGTTGTGTGCAGTGTCGTGGCGGCGCGAAAAAATAACGGGTCGCGGTTGCAATGGTCACGGCGTCACGGTGGTTCTGGAGTACCGCTGTTCTTTACTTTCAGTCGAAGTGTCGTTGTTGCTGAGAAATACAGTAACAGTAGAGAATAGTAGACAGTAGACGTAGACGTCGTGGTTGTAAAAGGAACAAGACAATAACAACAGGCACTTAATGTAATCGAGCAAATTCGGCTGTTCAACACTAACAAAAAAACACATAATTGTTCATTGAACCCTGTGTTCGCGAGGGAGGCGCGAGCACCACAAATGAGCTAGAAAAAAACCTGGTAGCCAAATCATGATCCCAACAGCAAATCGTATGATTTACAAGCGGCGGTCTTCATATGTGGCGATGGCGGCAATCATGGTAGTAGTAGTAGTAGTAGTAGTAGTGGTAGTAGTAGTAGTAGCACCAAAAACAAAAAACACAGCAGTAGCAGCAGCAGCAGTCGGAGTAGGAGCACACAGGAGTAGGGGTAGGAGTAGGAGGAGGAAGAGTAGTAGTAGTAGTAGTAGCAGTAGCAGTAGCAGTAGGTAGTAGGTAGTAGGTAGTAAGTAGTAGGTAAAAGGTGGTGGTAGTAGTAGTAGTAGTGGTAGTGGTAGTGCTAGTGGTAGTGCTAGTGGTAGTGGTAATAATAATAGTAGTAGTAGTATTAGCAGAAGTAAGAGTAGTAGTAGTAGTAGTAGTAGCAGTACGAGTTGTAGTAGCAGCAGCAGCAGCAGTAGTAGTAGCAGTGGCAGCAGCAGCAGTAGTAGTAGAAGTAGTAGTAGTAGTAGTCAGTAGTAGTGGTCATTCTGACTGAAATGCGGACGTCGCTCAGAGGTCGTTCATAGGTCGTTCAGAGGTCGTTTTTTCGCCGAGAAATCTGGCTAAATACTGTCCAGCGAAAGTGGGCAGCAGCAGCAGCAGCAGGAGCAGCAGCAGCAGCAGGAGTAGTAGTAGTAGTAGAAGTAGAAGTAGAAGTAGTCAGTAGTAGTGGTCATTCTGACTGAAATGCGGATGTCGTTCAGAGGTCGTTTTTTCGCCGAGAAATTTGGCTAAATACTGTCCATCGGTGGTGAGCAGCACCAGCAGCAGCAGGAGCAGCAGGAGGAGCAGGAGGAGCAGGAGCAGCAGAAGGAGCGGAGCAACAGCAGGAGCAGGAGAAGCAAGAGGAGCAAGAGCAGCAGCAGCAAATACATGATGCACGTAGTTAAGGAGGTCGTTCCAATGTCGTTTTGGACGTCGTCTGGAGGGTCGTTCCCCAACTAAATAACACATTCCACAAAGACAGAAAACATCAGAAATAGCTGCGGCGGTGCGTGGAATTCTGAACGAAGGATCCGACAATACTACTTTACATCAATCCACCTTTTTTTTCTGGCTCAAATGGTGTTTTGTGGTCACGCGCTCGGTCAATTTCACAGGTTTGAGTGTTGGGCTGTGCCCAGGGCAACCTTGGCGCTGGGATGGGTTGGGGTTGCTGGGGTTCACAGCTGCGCAAGCCTCAGAGCATACAAATGATCCTTTGGTAACGCGTTCTAGTTTTGAAAACGCACACGGAAGGGTTGACCTCTCCAACTGCGTCTGTGTGATGCATTCGGCTTGCGCAGTCATAATTGATGTTTCAACATGTTTCAACATGACTGAACCTGTCACATGAGCCGTTTTCTAAATTACTCGCTTAAGCTGTATACATGCAAAGTTACGACGTCTCGTATCGTTTTCCAATGTTTGGTAGAATGAAAGCTGCACGTATCATTTGGCAGGTTTTACCTGTAGTCTTGCCACCAACAATGAATGTCACCGATAATAACAAACAAAACACAAACGCAAACGCACAAACAGCAAGACACTGGAACCAGAGCTTCCCCTGCAAATGCTGGAAGTGTGACGAGCTCTGTGAAATGAGGAAGGACAACGCACCGTTTGCGGAGCAGCTCCAGCAAGCGCAACATGGTTGGTTTCTGCTGCTCGTTTGCTGATCTGATCTCTGTCACTAGAAGACGCAAGCCTGCCTGCACCTTTGCAGACTTGCGCGTGGGGCACCGTCTAAGGAGCTTCCCTTTTGCGCTCTCTCGTGTATCGTTGGGGTATCGCCTTGGGGTGCTGTTTTAGGACATTGACTTTCTGTATGCTTTTTGATCCCTGCTCCTAAGTGAGGGGGGACCTGCAAAAATGTAGGCTACATTTTGGGTAGCCCGTTCAAAAATGTAAGCTACAGTTTTCAGAAAAATGTAAGTTACATTTTTGTTTGTTCCTTCGGGAAATGTAGATCGCATTTTCTTAGTCCAAAGTGCAGAAAAATCTAGCTTACATTTTTGCAGGTTCCCCACTCCATGCTGAAATGGGAATGTAACCAACACCTCATGGCCCAATAAGGTGTTTTTATGCAAAATATCAGGCAAACAATGTATATATACTCTTGCCACAAGTATCTGATTATTTCAAATTATATAAATCATATTCTCTAGGCAAATTACATTGTTTTGATCAACTTCATATGGATTTTGCATTGAATTCGCAGTTGCCATTTGATCGTAGGGGCCTTGCGTGGACCACTTTATTGGCTGTTCTTAACCATATACATCTTTACTTCTGTAGTTTTCATATGTTGCCTTTCAATGTCTAGGTATATACCACCGGTTTACGGGCGTCCAAAATGTAGCTTACATTTTTGGAGGTTCCATTCCATTCTGTTACAGTAACTCCTTTCTCGGTTTTCATTTTTTCCTTCTAGGCCTTTCTGACTTCTCTTGCTGTTCTTTTCTGTATTTCTTTCCTTCTGGCCCTTACCCGCTTCCTGACGGAGCCGCTCGCGAGAATCTACCGCTGCATTTTACTGTTGGCTTCTTTCTGTATATCCGCCTCCATTCGATCGTAGGGGCCTTGCGTGGACACTTTAGAGACTGTTGTTTTCCCATATGCATCTCTAGTTCTGTAGATTCCATATGTCGCCTTTCAACATCTAGGTGCATACCACCGGTTTAGGAGCATCCAAAACTGTAGTTTACATCTTTGGAGGTTTCTTACCGCCTTTCTACGTTTTCCACTTTTTTCCTCTAGACCGTTCTTCCTTCTCTCCCCGTTCTTTTCTGTATTTCTTTCCTTCTTCCTGGATACCAATGGACCCTAGGACCATTATCCGTTTCCTGAGGGGGCCGCTCGTGGGAATCTTCTACTGCATTTTACTGCTGGCTTCTTTTTTTATATCCTCCTTGCTTCTCAGTTACCATTCGATCGTAGGGGCCTTGCGTGGGCACTTTATTGACTGTTTTTCCTATATGCGTCGTTACTTCTGTAGTTTTCATATGTTGCCAAAAATGTAGCTTACATTTTTGGGGGTTCTGTGTTTTCAACTTTTTCCCTCTGGACCTTTCTTCCTTCTGTTCCCGTTCTTTTCTGTATTTCTTTCCTTCTTCCTGGATACCAATGAGCCGTGGGGCGATTACCCGCTTCCTGACAGAGCCGCTCGTGAAAATATGCTACTGCGTTTTCCTGCTGGCTTCTTTCTTTCATCCTTCCTTCTGAGTTACCGCTCGATCGTAGGGGCCTTGCGTGGACACTTTATTGACCGTGTTTTACCATATGCATCTCTAGTTCTGTAGATTCCATATGTTGCCTTTCAATTTCTAGGCGCGTACCACCGGTTGACGGGCGGCCCATAAATGTAGCTTACGTTTTTGGAGGTTCCATTTGCTTACCACCTTTCTGTGATTTCCCATTTTTTACTGTAGACCTTTCTTCCTTCTCTTCCTGTTCTTTTCTGAATTTCTTTCCTTCTTCCTGGATACAAATGGGCCCTAGGGCCATTACCCGCTTCCTGACAGGGCTGCTCATGAGAATCTGCTACTGCATTTTACTGCTGGCTTCTTTCTTTATATCCTCCTTCCTTCCTTCCTTCTCAGTTGCCATTTGATCGTAGGGGCCTTGCGTGGACACTTTAGTGACTGTTGTTTCCCATACGCATGTCTAGTTCTGTAGGTTCAATATGTCGCCTTTCAATTTCTAGGTGCATGCCACCGGTTTACGGGCGTCTAAAAATGTAGCTTACATTTTTTGAGGTTTCACTTTCTTGACGCCTTTCTATTACATTGTAACTTACTTTCTAACCGCCGCATTTTCTTTTTTTTTTGCGGAGGCAGAGTGAACGTCCTTCCCGAGCGCTCCTGACAGCTCAGCTTTCCAGCTTTCTCCGACCGCCCACACGCCAAGCCTTTTACTAGCTGACATGAGGATAACATGCGCCTTTTCAGGGCCATCTTCGTTCGTTGATTAATTTTGAACATTCGCCCTTGCGGATCCTCTTCCGGGAACATCGAGGAGTCCACCGAGCTTTCGACAACTCGTCGACGTTTGCGCTGAGGCTTCCGGCCAATTCCACGCGGATTGAAGGCGAAGTGGGAAGCGGGCAACGGTCGTCTTCTTTGGGGTTCGGAAGAGTGCGGGGTAGGGGCCGGACAGTGTAAGAGTGTCAGAGATGCAAGGCAGAAGGGCCGCATCACAAACGCCATGGTGTTCAGAAGTGGCCCAACTTGAGCGTGCCAAAGCAAGAGGTGTTTGGCACTTTCCTTGCCCCCCCTAGTTTTGCAACAAGCTTCAGTAGGTCACCGAGATAGGACCCAGCATTTACACGCATTTGTCACATAATTCTTTACGATTCCTACGTCACTCGCCGCGCTTCTCTTAAGAAATTGCAAGAACACTGTTTTTGGGCTGCAGAACCGTATAGAGAGAGAGGGAGAGAAAGAGAGAGAGAGAGAGAGAGATGTGTCTAGATTAACCCCCATATGTACTGCCATCATGATCTACAACCTCCGGAAGCTAAGCCAGTTCTCAGACAATTTGCGGTTGAACATTTATTTTGAGTTACAAGGTCTTCCGCCGCGATCTCTATGTCGGAAGGAGAAAGATTTGATTTGATGTGGGGACGGAAGATTTGTTAGCGACCGTTGACATGCCCTTCGCGAGTCACGGCGCAAGTAATCTTCACCAAGAACAGAGATGTCCCAAAATGTAAGCTACATCTTTTCAGGTGTGTTTTTCGCCAACAGCGAGGCTTAGGGGTCTTCTGCCATAGTATAGACTTTGGAGCAAGCTTCGGAGCAGGTGTTCCAAAACAGGTTCAGGAGGAGGTTTTGGAGAAGGTGCCGGAGGAGGTTAACTCCGAGGGGGTTCCGGAGGAGGTTGCGGAGCGGGTTCCGGAGGAGGTTGCGGAGCAGGTTCCGGAGGAGGCGCCGGGGCGGGGGAGCTTTTGAAGCAGGTTCCGGTGTTCATTTCTGGGGCTTACAATGCAGCCGGCAAAGAAAATAAATAAAACAAATGTAAGTTACAATTTTATGGTGGGGGTGGAATGGATTTCCTGCAGGTGTTTTATGTAAATGTACTAATTCTTGTGGCCCATGTGCCCCCCCTCCGACGGCTTCAGCCCCCCCCACTCATCGGGACAATGCTAGTGTTGCCGATGGTCAGTCGACCCCCCCCTTCTAATCCATTCGTCGGCTGTCCAAGTGACCCCCCCCAAAGTAGCAACATGTCAAATTTCTGCAAGCGCCTCCTCAAAGCCTAAGCTGGGGGGGACCTGCGCAATTGTAGGTTACGATTCTTTGACCCCCGCTCCCCCCCCAAAAAAGGCAGAAGTTGTAACTTACAAATTCGCAGGCCCCCCCCCCAATTTTGTAGGGATAGGGGGTGGGGATTGTTTTTTGACGTAGGCGCACGCGCGGCGCTCACGCTACACCAAGGAGAAGACAGTCCCTTTCCATACCTTGTTCAGTGGTGGAGCGTAGCCTTTCCTCAAAGGCTGGTGCCAGTCCATGAGCCAAGAGCCGACGCAGCCGTCCAAACACAAGCAATCACAATCCGTAATTGCCTGTGACACTTGCAAGAACAAACCAGTTCATGAAGTGACTCCCTTCAGATCCTTGAGCACAAATGCTGCGAAGAGTTGCTGTGGCAGGAGGACATACCAAAATGAACTCAAAAAACTCAAGGAACTAATGCGTGTGACAGTATGTAACAATAGGGATATCGTTCTTTTGGACGCCCCGTATCGTTTTCCAAGGAAAGACCAAAATCGCACTCTTGGATGAAACGTCCCTGCATAAAGTAAACGACGATAAATTTTGAAACGACTCACATGTTCTTGCTATTCCATTGAATCCGTACTTTCTCAGAGTGTTCAAGCTGCCTGGTTGTCCAAGAGGTTGTGCAACAATTGCTCAAACTTGACACGCTCAGGTGGAAACTTCTCCAGTAGGCTGAAGAACGCCTTCTTTGCCACAGTCCCCACCTTGCAGATTTCGTCTGTTTTGACCTGTGTTCGCTCACCGGTGTCAATCCCATAAACTTCCAGGACTCCTGAAATAGACTTTGAGGGCAACGCGCACACCAAGAAGCCATTCTTCATGACATGCAAATGTCCATCAAAGACCACAAACAATTTGGGACTTAGAGCATCCTGCACAATGGATTGACCCGGAAGCAGCAAACATGGTTCCATGACTGCAGCAAACTGAGAAATAAATTCCGAAGAGGCCTCCGAAAACATATTGATCTTCTGCAAATGGCTCCGCAAGGTTGATGTTTTTGACATTTCTTGGAAGTCATCACACAGGCGCTTGAAGGAACTGTTTGTATGCAGCAGTAAGTCTCTCCGAAAATCTGGATACTTGTCCATCGTTGCTGCAAACCGTTGTTTTGAAATTGCTCCCACAAAACATGTTTCTTCTGCTACGATTGTTGTGAATACCTTCTTCATCATTATGGAAGCAATGCCTCCAATAATAGTTGGACCTTGTATAGGCTGCAAATCAGCTCCAAAGGCTTCTGCGGAACAGGTCCCTCGCTGCAGAATCATAATCTCAAACAGGTCGTCTCCTTGCTGCAGGATCACTTGCTGAGGAATATAGATGCGCAGTTTCATGACTGCTGCAAGCTCCTCTAGCGGTTTTCCTGGCAACTGTTTTAAGTCAGGGATTTCTGCCAAGCTTGTTGATAACTCGATCCGGTCATAGTCCTTCACAAACTGCCTCACGTAACTGCGGGGAAGCCTCAATGGAATCTGTGCGGTCGCGTCACGCTACATGTTTGTGTGGTCTCACGCGCATGTTCGACAATGGCCACTTTCGTTGCTACTGCAATCGTAAAATTATTGTAGGAAGAGACGATGATTATAGTGAACATTTTTTTTGACCGTCAATGATTTTGCAAAACCGTTTGGCAGCTACACTTAGAACATTGGTCCTAATCATCACTTGGAGCATCTCGACTCACGTCTTAAAACATGAAGGGACTTCAAGGTTTAGAACATGGATATGCGGTCAAGTATATGCATATTTACACGCAACTCCTGATTCAATACGTCAGCCAAGTCTGCAGAGCACCGATTCCTTGATTTCTATTAAACAAAATAGATATCTTTAACAAATAGCAAAAAATGCAAAAGTATTTAATCGTTTAGATTTTCTTGACAATTATAGTGGATGGTCCCTCCACCCTTGGCCTTTTTTCAAGGACAACGCTCTATGCCATTGTGCCGGATGCGAGCGTTCTAATCCTAAGAGTTAGAACGCGCTCGTAAAAATATACAAATTTCCAAAACACATTACTGTATTCCAAGTACAAAAGTCTTGGACTATACGCAAACGACGTAGCCCGGTGGTTCTTAGGATCTCGAGCGACTCCGCAAATGGCCTTTGCTTGCTGATGTAGGTTGATGTCATGACTGTGAAGCGCGCAGTTCTACGGTTCCACTGAGGTCTTTAACTAGTTTTAGGCAATTTGCTGGGCGAACGCGCTTCCTGGGCGACGCCGTTTGTGCCTTTTTTGTCGCAGACGTTGTGCTCAAAACGGCGGTGCCCGGCGCCCAATGAGGCGCCGGGTTCACCAGTTTCTGCGCCGCAGTCGGATTTGGTCACCTGCGTTGATTCACTTTGCGGTTGGAGGCACGTCATTTGGAGGACAAGTGAATATCTGAAAAAGAAAAAATACAAATCGCATACGAAGTTAATCTCTCATTGGATTGCTGTGACATCATAATAGTTGGCGTCGCTTACGGGCCGCACTTCCTGTTTGTAGATCACATGTCAGTTCGAGAATTTGCTTGTGGCATTGTTGATGCAGCAACCACAAACGGTATGCACAAATGGCGACAAAGTCCTCCATGAAATTCCCATGGTCGGTCCGGGCTCCACATTCTATAGCAATAACATGTTGGAGCCCACCTTTTTTGCTCTATAGAATGGATTACCCCAGCTAACAGGATGGACACCAGCTCACTATAGAGTGGGGAGCCCATGGGGGCCCAGACCGACCAAAACCAACCAAAGTGACACCTTTGTACGCCTATAACCTAAAATAGACCCAGCCATAATTGGTTTACCCCACCCGCCTTCCAGACCTTCATTGGGTCAAGATAAACGCTCAAGCGCACACATTAAAAAACATTTATAAGGGGTCATGTTTGCAAGGAAATGAAGGCTTCATAAAACAGCTGACAATGATGGACAGCCACATTTCTCGCTCTTGCTGTGCACGGTCTCTGTTTATGTTCTGCTCTATTGAAAGTGTATATGCTTCGCATATACCATTGGACAGTCCCCCATTCCAAAAAACTATCACTAGGGCTCCGGGCTCTCCTTCATTATTTCTATCTGTGAAGTTGCACAACTAAACCCAAACATAAAATTTCTTGATCTGGATTGATCTGGCAATGTCTCGGCGAAACATGAGAACTCATCACCTGTAACACCCCACAGCATCCTTCAAATAAAACAACCATGTAAAACCAGCATCTCAGAACAACAGAAATGCCAACAACACAATGTCTCGGCGCTTCGCTGGGACATTTCATGACCAGTAAGCTACCGAAATTATTTTCTTTGTTGATTACTATTTTTGCTTGGCCAGTGGTTCCTGTGCCACTCTTTCCTGGCTCAGAATGGCTTAGATGTGTTATTTTCTGCGCCTTTCATTGAGCCAAATGGTTTTTTTGGCTTCAAGAATGCTGTGCTTGTAGAATTTCAGAATGGCTGGAGTCCAGCACCTGAAACAGCGCTTGATCTGAGATTATAGGATGCCTTTCCATAGAATGGATAGGAGTCCACCCAAAAAGAGCTGTCCATAAATTGAGTGCCCCTCCACTTTTGGAGTCTCTTTAACAGAGTCATGTTGTTCGTAGAACCGTTTTATGCAGGAGCCTGGGGGGACAGATTTTATGGATGAACATTTTACAGGGATGCGACAAAACAAAAAAGCACAATTTGCCTTTGAAAGCAAGGTGACAACGAGAACTCTTGCTGAAGCTCTTCAGATGCTTCTTCTTCTTGTGATGTCCAGGGAATACGTTTGCTGGCATCCTTTTCGATGCGGTCTTCGACCAACTGCCGGAAAATGCCGGAGTCGTCCGGGAAGGTGGCAAAGCATTGCTGCAGTGCCTCCATGGTGATCACCTTAACGATGCATTGAGAAGTTGCTTTCACTGTTGCCTTTGGAGCACGCCAAAGTCCCAAAACATTGAACTCGCCAAATAGAACTGCATCAGCAAGGTCTCCAACTTCAATGTTGATCTGCAGGTCTCCATCTTTCAGGATTGCAACCGATCCCTCGCACAAAAGGTAGGCATCTGAATTCGGAGCTTTGTCTTCAAAAAGTGTCTGGCCCACATCCAGCTTCAAGTGCTGCGCGTTGGCTTCCAGCATGTTCACAAAGTCTACGGAAGCATGCTCAAACAGGCGAATCTTCCTAAAGGATTGTTCTTCAATCGTCAGAAGCTTCTTGAACTGCACATATATTCGATCATCCTTGATGAACAGTTCCAACAAAGATGAACGCGGCCAAGAATATGTGATAACCACACTTGAGGCGGGCATCACGGTAGCATGACACACCCTGAGCTCCTCTCCCAAAGAAAACACCGAACGTTCTCCAAGGACGCTCTTGGGCCCCAGCGTCGAAACAAGTTTACCGTCAACCAGCACATTTGCCTGACCTGCGTAAATCACATGCAATGCATCTGCAAGTTTGCCTTGCGAAAGTATCTCTTGATCAGCCTTGAAGGTGTTCTTCTTTACCATCAAGAGAAGCCGTTCTAGGCTAAACACATCAAACTCTGAGAAGAAATCAATTCCATCCAGCCAGGCAGCAACGGCATTTTGTGCGGCTTCAAGCTCCTCATTGTTGGCAAAACGCTGGTCACTCACCAGGGCAATCGGGGAGTGCACTGCAGATTCGGACCGTTTCCTTAGTGAAATCTGACACGCACCGGCTTCCCTTCCAATGTTTTCGACTTAGCATGCGGTCTATAGGCCGCATGAGCATACAAAACATCAAAAGCTTCTTTTGTGACTAAAGTTTTTGCTTGTATACCTACGCCTATGCAGTGCAACGAAACCTTAGCCGAAGGCACAGGGCTAATCAGTCACAACATGCTATCACCGTGATGAAGAGAGCACTCGACGAACACGCTTGAAGTTGTTGCGAGTGAATTCGGACGTGGATCGCAAAGCTAAGCAGCCTTTCACCTGAATTCAACGAATTTACGATTGAGCTTGAACACGTTGTCGTGACAATGGAGTCGAGTCTATTTGTTTGTCGAGCTCTTAAAGGGCCATTGAATGTTTAACGGGGCCGGGCAAGCTCCGTGTGGTGGAACAATCGTGCAGGGCTGCAGGGCACCGTTTGAGTACCTACATGTACCTACCGTTTATTGAGTCGACGGTGCTGAATCAACCGATTTCTTGCTCTTGCAGATCCTGCAACTACACTAACACCCACGACAGTAGTGTACAGGGACAGCTGCATATCCATGCGCATTGTCTCTCTCGGCGGAGTGCTGCACGGGGTTGCGCAGTATGCTCTGTTCACGCACCGCGCTATACACGCAACAATCAAGTAACACATGGTGCTGTGCTGCATACCCTTACCACAAACCATCACAAACCGTAACCTACTGCAGGAAGCCTTGATAGTGTTGCAGGCAATGGCAAAACTTGAAGGGATTTTACATTGAATGGCACAACGATGAGACAACTGGTCAAAAGCAAGTCTCGGATGGAAGGATCTGTCACGCATTTTTTCGCCTCTGTCATTGAGGCCTGAGGTGGCGGATCTCAAAGCCACGGGTTTGAGTTTTGAGGAGGCTCGCGGACTTTCGGCCTTTGACTTTGAGTGGTCGGCTTTCATCTGCGAATGAAATGCTGCAGCGTGAACCTTGTTGGCATCTGCTTCATGGTGCGTGAAGAAGGTCCGAAGATCGTGAGAAGTAAGAACCATAAAATCCGAAAATGATGTCGTTGTGACCGTCTGGCTCCAAACATGATCCATTAGAAGCCCAACGGGTGGACCGATCACTGCTCCATCGACATATGTTTGGACCTTTTTGCCATGCACAACAGCATCAGCAGTTCCCTTTCCCATAAACCACAAGCGGTCTACTCGTTCTCCCTCTCTGGCCAGAAGCTCCTCTGGTGCCAAAAAGCAAACCTGTAACTTCACGGCAATCATTCTCAATACTGGTTCCTTCAAAGCCCTGAAGAAATCAATCCTCCGCAAGCTCTCCAAACCACGACTCACAATGGGCTCGCAAACCCGCTGTTGAATCGATACATCTTTCTTAGACGACATTGGCTCGGCGCAAGGTTCAGTTTTTCATAGGTATCTTATGGGATTGTTCATTGTTACAAAGTGCTGTGGAGTAGTGTGGTTGAACTTTGAACACATTGGATTGGCTGAGTTTTGCTCAGCCATTCACCACCTGTTCCTGATCTTCGGGCAAAATTCTGATTTAAAACCTGGCTCTCCAATGTTCGTCAATTTTCTGCATGTCTAGTTCTCAAACCAAACAAACTCTCGGTCGCTCTTTCTCTGCTAGAACATGCAAATCATCTCCTTTGGCACATTCAGACTGTGCTTCGTCCCATTACATGCAAGCTTTGCTTGGCAAAAGCGTAAAGTTGTGGCGGTGTCAAATTTGACACTGCATCAATTAAAAATACACTTGTCACACATCTAAACAAAGCGGCAAAATCGGTTCAAATCATCTTGGCCAAATAGAACAAAAAACAACCAAGAGCAACCTCAAACCGTTCTGCATTTCAATTTGGCAACGCAGTATGTTCACTGTGAAAACTCAAAGCGCCCGCTGTCGAATTGAGTTTTGGGCGATATTGTCCACCTCATACAAACAAATAATGCGACCCACTCCCAAAACCGGACTTCTCTGTCCATGTTCGTAAAGGTAACAAACGTCCAAGACCCATATACTATCTATACTGTCTGTACGCAACTAGCAGGTGTCTAGCGCCGAACAACCTTGGTGATCAAACATGCGGCGTCTTAAATGGATTCAGATTCCGATTCCCACCTGACTGAGGACAGTGGCAAGGCAATGGCAGATGCCTTTTTCCAAGCACCGCTTAGCATGTGGAGAATTCACTGCAAGCGTGCTTGGCCACATCGTTGTGGATGTTTTGATGAAGTGACAAAAAAAAACAATCGACCCAGCAGTTTCTACCAAGATCTGCGCCAACTTGCCATGGTCAATCAGCAAGCTTCCTATGACCTCCAGCTGATCTAAATTGTGCTGCCAGCATGATTCGTTTTGACAAACACACGTGCCTTAAATCAAAAATCACCAAGAGCGTGTGCAAGGAAAAAAACGGATAACCCCACATGTTATCAATGTCACCAGACACAGGAGCGGACAATTGGTGGTTGGTGGTTGGTGGTGGTTGGTTGGTGCTTGGTGGTTGGTGGTGGTTGGTTGGTGGTTGGTGGTTGGTGGTGGTTGGTTGGTGGTTGGTGGGTGGTGGTAGTTGGTGGTTGGTGTCAGCTGAACCCTTCTGCTTTACCACGCAGACAGCGTGAAAAATACAGAACCCAGGAGAGCAAGCCGGAGGCTGCTGGTGTCATGCATGTGTGATCATGTGTGCAAACTGCCAGTGGCTGAACATCATGCAGTTGGCAGAGAACCTGGCTTCAAGAGTCGGTGCTCGGTGGCTAGTGACATGGGCCTGCATCGGCCCTTGGGCCCTGGCAGCCGTCCGGTGGGTGCGGCTTCGACAACTCTGCGCCCATCAGTGGATTGAGAAATTTGGGAAGCAGCTGTTGGCTGAAGGCGTACATCCAGCCCTTGGAGAGCACCAAGTACCGCGCCTGCCACGCAAATCACACCCGCAACTGCGGCGACCAAGCGACACCACGCCAAGTCTCCAAACCGAGCGTTTCGTACGAGACTTCCTCCAAAATTCAACAGTGAAGCGCCAAGTCTCCAAAAACGAGCGTTTCGTGCGAGACTTCTCCAAAAGTCACACGTCCAAGTCTCCAGAACGAGCGTTTCGTACGAGACGTCCTCCAAAAGTCAAGCGTCCAAGTCTCCAAAACGAGCGTTTCGTACGAGACTTCCTCCAAAAGTCAAGCGTCAAAGTCGCAAAAAGTAATGAAACCCCTATAGTTTGAGCACTCGACCCACCTGATCTCCGCAGAGGGACGCCCGACGACAAACAAAAGTAGCAAAAAGCCTAGCGTTTGAGCACTCGACCCAGCCGATCTCCGCAGAGGGTTGCCCGACGAAAAACACAAATAACAAAACCCTAGCGTTTGAGCGCTCGACCCGCCCGATGTCCGCAGAGGGGTGCCCGATGAAAAACAAAAGTAGCAAAAACCCTAGCGTTTGAGCACTCGACCCACCCGATCTCCGCAGAGGGTTGAATCAAAATTTTTATTAGTTGCAAAAACCTGACCTTTGAACACATGACACGTGCGATCTTCGCAGAGGGTCGCCTCTCGATTAACCTGGCCCGCGCCACCCCGCGGCCTTAAGAGAGAATAGAATAAAGAAGTCGAGATATGGATGGAGATGCTCGTGCGATAAGACTCGTGTGATAAGACTTGTATGATTGCGCTTGTGTTATGATGCTCTTATCTTGATTGATTATCTTGATATGATGCACATGTGATAAGACTTGTATGACTTGTATGATTACGCTCGTGCGATACTGCTCTTATCTTGATGCTCATCTTGATGCTCATGTGATGATAGGCATGTGATGAAGGAATATGATGAAGGAATCTGCCTTTAAGAAAAACCTTTCGCAATCGCTCTCGGAAAAAATGAGCTGGCTGCGCGCGCTTTCGAGAGGGTGCCGGCGCTGGCGCTGGTGTTGTGAGCTGGCTGAGCGCGCGTTTGAGACGGGCGGCGGCGCTGGTTGGGCGGCGGCGGCGGCGGCGCTGCCGGTGCTGTTGTCAGGTGGCAATGCGTTGTCGAGAAAGGGTACCGGTGCTGGTTGTGCGCGCTTTGGAGGTGCTGTAAGCTCAACAGGCCGTGGGGTTCTGCCTGGTTATCTGGGTCTATGCTGGCGTAATTCTTACTGTAGCTGGAGTGAAGATCTAGACAACCCAGCAAGCAAGCGACGCGCGAAGTTCGAAAGCAAAGTGAGAGCCGCCCTCAAAGCCCGCCCTTTTCCATGGCCATCCGGCGTTGATGCGCAAGCCCTGCACTTTTAGGATCTTTTTAAGGCATTTTAGAGAGATGCCATCAGGCACATACATGCCGATGTGGCTTGTTGTGTGAGCATGAAGCAACAGGGGGGAAGGACCTCATACAAGCGGCGTACTTAAGTCAACCCACGTCGCGTGAAGTCAACTCACTGCATGGGCACAAGGTTTCAGCGAGAAGTCAACCCACTCGCGTGAAGTCGACTCAATTTGGTCAAAGCACAATGGGCACACTTGAAAAATGAGCACGGCAGGAAAGTGTATATGTTCAAGGAAAAGTGTGCGCACACTGTGTTATGGCTGGCATTTGGTCTTGCTTTCTAGATGTTTCAAGCCCAAATACCAATGGCACAGCACCATTCACACCAATGCGCAACTTAGAATAGGCTGCGTGCGCACACACACACACAAGCGACTATAGGCCTCTGCGCGAACCCCGCGACCCCGTTCGCGCGAGCACGACTCCTACAGTCGCCCTACAGCTTCCTACGGCCAACCAAAACAGAAGCAGCAGGAGCAGCAGCAGCCAACCAGAAGCAGCAGCAGCAGTGGAGCATGGGCCCAAGGAGCTCTGCATCAAAACTGTCACAAATCCTTGTCCAGCGTCGGTGCGCAAGTCCCGCCCTGTTAGGGCAATTGAGAGAGATACCGTCAGGCACATACATGCCGATGTGGCTTGTTGCATGCACATGAAACCACACATTATATCCAATATTATCCAATTATCATCTAAGCACTGCAAATGAATCTGATGGCTTTAGCTTCGTCCGCACTTAGCCCGCGCATCACTGATTCAGCTCATGACTTACTGACTTCTTAAGTGGCCATGGACTCAAGTCCATGCTTCAGGCTGCTGCAGCACAGTCCCGGTGAGTTTGCGTAGCAAGCGCGATAAACCCGAAAGGGAGCCAAAAGGCAGGAGGAGCGTGGCATTCGCCTTCAGCTTGAAGTAGCTTGGTCCACTGAAACAGTATCAAAAAGGTTGGACAGCTGCCTTGCAGAGCTGGAGGGCTGAAGTCAAAAGGGGAAGATACACAAATATGAAGCAGAACATTGTTGGATGTGCCCTCAGAACGGGTGCTGGTTTTTGTGATTTGGTGTACTGTGGTCACTTGTAATGATTTGCGGTGCTTGGTGGTGGTTTTGTGCTATATAAGTGCTGATTGTAGTTTGTTGCATGTTGGTACGCTTGGTGATTCTTGATATTTCTGGCCTGCTGCTGATACCCAAACACCGCAGTAGATATTAATCGCCTTTTCACATTTTTTTTACGATTCATGTAGGCGCCTCTGAGCTGAGCCATGCGCTGGGCACAGGCCTTATACCATCCTTGGACAAAACAGCGTCTGGGCGAAGGCCAATGGATGTCTATAGAGTCTATAGTTTATTAGTGCTTGGATGCGCTTGAACCTTGAACCCGTTTTTTAGATCGATGCTGGTGGCAAGTTGCAGCCTGGTGCCTCACACCTTGGAGCCAATCTTCGGACGCTCATCGTCACATTGCACTGCACCAGCACCCAATCAGCTCGTGGCGCGGTTGTGCATGTGTGCCCCGCACGATTGAACCCCCGTGTGTCCTTGCACAAATAGATTGGATGAGAAGTTTCTATAATGATTATGGGACAGTCTAAGTCTTTTGGACTATATATCGCCGAAATGTCAGGACCAGGAACTCTCCATGAAAACCTGAGGTTGAGTCGAGGCAAGCGCAACCATTCCATCCTGGTGCAGCTGTTTTTACCTGCAGCTGGCATTTGAGATCTATTGTTATAATTCTAATTAGACTTAATTCTATTTGAATTCTATTTATTTCTTGTTTCTAATAGCTTCTTGCTCCTAGTAGTAAGGCCAGGAGCCCCTAGTAGCGTCTTTGCTCCTAGTAGCGATGCCGTTTGCTCCTAGTAGCAGCTGGCATTTGATATCTATTGTTGGCAAATCTTGTAAGCACCGATCCGGTGCTTCCTGCCGTCACGCACCAAATCCAACACTGGCTCTTGGTATCCGGCAATGCACTCGAACTGTTCGTTGCTTGATCCGTTGGCCTGCAAGGACGCAAATTCAGAAATTTGATGAGATTTGCCCATAAAGCTGAAGCAAAGTGCTGCCTCGCTGCTGTGGGCCACCATTTGGCAAAACCCTGGGGCTGTTTCA